CATAGAGACAACGGCCCCAACCTATCGAATCACGAAGTACAGCGAAGAAGCCAACAATGAAGCGCGTTTGCTGGAGCTGGAGTTGTCACAGGAAAGGCGCGAGTTGGCAGCAATCAAGCTGGCCGCAATGAAAGAGCAAGTAGCCAAGTACCACAACGCGAAACTGGTTCCACATAAGTTGATCCTCGGAGACCAAGTGCTGCGATGCAACTTCCGCCCCGACCCCAAGCACGGAAAGCTCGCCTCAGTGTGGGAGGGTCCATACCTAATCCGCGAGGTGGTCGGTGCCAACACCTTCAAACTCAGCGAGTTGGGGGGCAACAAGATACAGAGGACGTGGAACGCGCAAAACCTAAGGAAATATCACCGAGCAACTTAAATATGTATTTTTCATGCTATCGCGCTTTGCCGCAAAGAAATGGAAAGGAGTCAGTTCGCAAGAACAAAAAATTAGCAATAGTCCAGCACTATTCGCGCCCATTCAGTTCGCAAGAACAAAACGTTAGCAATAGTCCAGCACTATTCGCGCCCACTCAGTTCGCAAGAACAAAACATTAGCAATAGTCCAGCACTATTCGCGCCCATTCAGTTCGCAAGAACAAAACGTTAGCAATAGTCCAGCACTATTCGCGCCCACTCAGTTCGCAAGAACAAAACATTAGCAATAGTCCATCACTATTTGCGCCCATTCAGTTCGCAAGAACAAAACATTAGCAATAGTCCAGCACTATTCGCGCTCACTCGATTCAAAGGAACAAACAAACGCCGTGAATAAGCACTCTTTGGATTCAATTAAGCGGGAGCAACAAATAATCGCAACAAAAAAAGAAAGAAAGAAGAAAGAAGGAAACAAGAAAGACAACAAAGCAACAAACGCAAAAAGGGAACATGTCAGCGCAAAGACACTTAAGCGCTTTAGCCCTCTTTACTCTGCTTACGGCGCAACAGGGGCTGAGCATCATCCTCATCGTCATCATCAGCTCCCTCAGCATCCATACTTGCGCCCTCAGCCTTCCCCCCAACCTGGCACTCTTCCCCTTCCTGGCGCTCTTCCCCTTCCTCATCATCCTCTTCATCATCCTCATCGCCCGACTCGGAGTCAGACTCCAAGGGCCGCTTCTCGCCAATCCACGTCTGGACGTGGCGGACCATCTCGCGCGTATCCCAGCGGACTTCCGAGTTCTCTGGCCGAACCTTCTTCCCGACCGCGATCACGGCCTTGGTCATAGCGTCACCCAAAATCTTCCCGAAAGAGGGAGAAGACTTGAACTGGCGAACGCCCGCGACCTCGGCCTCGCGAACAGCTTCCTCCTTTGCGATGTTGTGAATGCGGACCAGGTCATCCTTCTCCTTTTGAAGCTCTTCGCGAGCTTGCTTCAGCTTCTCATCATAGGAGGCCTCAAGCTGACTGCGGATGGTCGAGCGCTCCTCAGCTCGCACCTACTCTTTTGCCGCCTCCACGTCGACGGCCAGCTTGCTCTGCAGGAGGCCAAGTTCCTCCATCGCCTCATTGGCTTTGTTGGTGGCCACGTCGGCGCGGTTGTTCGCCCCGACGACCTTCCCCTCCAGCTAGACGATCTTGGCTTCGTCAGCCTGTATCCTGGCGCGCTGCACCGCGCGCTCCTTCTGAGCCTGGAAGGTCGCCGACAAACCCTACAACGCTCATAGACTTAGCAAAACAAATGAATAAAAAAAAGAGAGAGAAGATTAGACGCGATAGAACTCAGCCCGATCTTACCGCGAAGTGGATCTGAGCCAAGTCATGCAGGGGGTCAGACTTCTCCACCCGCGGCGGAACACTTAGGACAGGCCCAAGCACCCGGAGCGCGGTATTCGCGGCCACAAGATTGCACGCTGCCGATGTGTGAATCCGCACGTCGCGGAAGTAGTTGACTGCAGCAGCGCCGGCAGTGGGGGTCGCGGAAGTCCCTCCGAAGCCCGCCATCTCAGGCAGCTTCTGCTGGATGGTGGCACCCGACGAGCTCCCAGCCTTATCTCTCCTCTCCCTCTCAGACCGAGAAGGCCTGCTCACCGCCTCCTCCGGCTCTGAAAGCGCCAGAGCTAACTGCCGCGCGTCAGATAGCGGCGTCTCCCCTTGTGAAGCCTGCGCAGCCTGCGTCTCCCGCGCACTTGGCTCTGCGACACGAGCCGCCTTACGGGGCTGTTCAACCGCCACTCGAGGCTGTTCAACCTCCTTCCGCTTCGTGCCCCTCGGCACCGCGCCCTCCTTCTCCTCCTTCTTCTTTTTCTTCTTGTCAGCGCGCGTTGGCTTCACAACGTCGTCGACCGACATCATGCTCACCAGGTTGGAGAAGTCAACACCTGCGCCAATAAGTCGTAAGAAAGCGGTTAATATGAAAAGAATGCAAAAGAAAAGAAATACAACTAACCATCGGCGAACAGCTCCTGCAAACAAGCCTAGCGCACTCCCCCATCATACAAATTGATCCTATGAGGCATGCACGCGACATACTCATCGTCCAGCCCGTCGTAGGTGCCGGCATCCGACTCATATCCCTGCGTACTGCCTTTCTTCCAGACAGTAGGCTCCTCTACAAACTCACTCGCCCACTCTCCAGGAACAGGCTTGACGTAGAAGAAGCGCTCGAACCAAGTTTTCTTTAACTTGGGTTATCCATACACGAAGCATTCGGGCCTCTTGTCGCGACGCTTGATGGAAAAGCAGTCGCTTCTCCTCGTAGGCTCCTTAATTTTATAGATCTTCCGGAAAAGGCCGTAAGTTGGCTCGATGTTAAGCCTTTTGCACGCGAGGCGGAGACAACTCGCGTGCATGATCACTGACGGGGAGAGCCGCCCAACGGAGCAATTGAGGCGCCTATACAAAGCGCACAAGAGCGGGTCGATGGGGAACTTAAACCCCATCACCCAATACTCCGTGTACACGCCGAACCACCCCTCGGGACAATTACCCACCATGCTGCGCGTAGAAGGAGCGGCGTACTGCCAATAGGGGGCAAACCCAGCCCGCGCACTATCTCCTCTACGTCACCAACATCGTATATCGAGGCGTGCTCGGGCCCGCGCTTGAGGTTGTCATGCGGCGCCGGCTGATCGCCCACATCTCGGCCCACTCTATAACAGTATACGCGGCGCCATAGTCGAAAGGAGAATCGAGGTTGTAGAAGAAGGAGAGGAATCTCAGAGAAAAGAAGAACAAAGAAACAGGAAGCAGAGTCAAAGGAAACAGATGAGTCCCACTCTCCTACAGCAAACCCATATTTATAGTCGGCCAAGGGAAGACGAAGGGTTAAAGCTACATAGGGATTCGTAACCGTCAGATCATACCAAATCTTTTCGAATTTATTCGAATTTCAAGAATCCCCGCCCAAATAGCCCAATCATGCAGAGACACGTGGACACCTTCCATCAGAGACACTAGTCGGCGACGCCACAAGTGCCGCGCACCGCCTGGGGGGCATGACACACCCGCGAGGAAGAAAAAACAGCCCATCCCCAACTTAAAAGTAGCGCGCACCAACGAGAGAGCATGACTTACGAGCGTAGATCAAGGCAACGCGCACAACAGGGGGCATAACACACCAACTTCGACCGACGCCATCCTCAACCTAAATATAACGCGCACAAGTGAAGAGCCCCACCAAATCGAGGCGAGCGCACGCAAATCAAACGGACAGCACCCGCGGGTCACTACCGATATGCACAGGATACGCGCACCATTGAGGACACGAGAATCACGCGGAGACCAAACAAGCCGACTCGCCCAGACCACGCCCATCTCAGTCGATAGCGCGGAAACAGACGGAATCGCGCAGATCTGAGTCAGTCACACGAAGATCAAACAGGCGGCATTCGCGGAATACCCCCTGATGGGGGGCAATTGTTGGGCATGTGACTCGGATCTCACCCCACGGAAGAAGCAGCTAGGGATACTCACGCCAATGGCAAGCGCGCGAATCACACCGGAGTCAAGCGCGCTAGTCACACCAGAGTCAAGCGCGCGAGTCACGCCGGAGTCAAGCGCGCGAGTCACGTCGGAGTCAAGCGCGCAGGAAAAGACCACACCCGGAGGCCGCGCACGAACACTAAACGACGACGCTTTGGGCAGACGTGGACCCTTATCGAGAAGTTGTAGAAGCGGCGCCGCGTCACCCAACGGGTAGTCACCATCATAGTCCTAGGTATAGTCCTGCCTAAGTCAGGAGTAGTCACATCAGGGTCCTAAAAGCAGGGTCCTAAAAGCATGGCCTAAATCCCTGACATGTCAGTGGTCATGTCATTGTCCCACATGTAACCCAGCCACTCACCCACCACCATGTAGCCTATAAATATGGCATTTACTCCGGTGGGTGAGGGGATCGAATTTTTCAGACTCTATCTCTAAGATCATCAACTTCTCTCTCTAAGATATTTCTCTCTCAATTCCCTTCGTAATCTCCCCAATTCTTCCGCCGGCAATTATTCCCTCATTGCTACTCTCCTTGACCCATTTTCCCGAGTCTTCCTCCTACACTTAGTTAGGCTCAAACAGTATCCAAACAAAAGTCAGTCAAGTGCTCTCAATTTGGGTAGTAACTAGTAAGATTTTTGTCTTTCGGGCTAGGTTGCCCTTGTCGACGATCATGGCTGGCGATCTCCGGATTCAGGAATGGTTCCAGTGATACTGATGGTTATATGGTTATATGTATAATATGCCCCTTTACTATGTCGCTTTATCAAACATGTCACTCTACTATTTTTCACATCAAATATGACCATGTAGTTTGGAAAAATTATCAAACGTGCCCTTTTGTTAAAATTTCCAGTAAAAAATCGGCAACCATGGTTGAACCGAGATTTAGGCGACCTAACATCGGCAAATGAGATGGAAAATATCAGTTTTGTCCCGTGATTAATTTCTCTAGGTCTCGCTAAAGTGAAATTATTAGAGGTATTTGGCTATACAAAAGAATAATAAAAAATCTAAAGTGAAATTATTAGAAATATTATAGATATTTGGGTTGCCCAAAACAAGGTTCGCCCGTGGTTGACTATTTTTTGCTGAAAATTTTAGCATAAGGGCATATATGATGATTTTTACAAAATAGAGGGGCATGTTTGACGTAAAAAATAGTAAAGGGGCATGTTTGATAAAACGCCATAATAGAGGGACATATTATATCTATAATACTTTAGTGAAGGCTCAGGTAGTTCTATTGAAGCAATGGGCTAAAAAGTTTGGAATCTCATAAGCAAATTTTCGGACAAGTCGATTGGATCCTAAAAGCCAGCAAGGTTGAGAAGCTTTAGCTTCCGTCGTCTCCTTCATCCCACCTAAATTCAGTAATTTGTTGTTCGAAAGAGCAATGTGGATTGAATTCTGTACTGTTTGCGGTGGGGACTTGAGCGATCAGCGATCGGTTTACGGTAAGCGATCTGTTTTTTTTTTTCTTCTTCCAGAATATAATCTATCCTTTTCTTTGTTCTTACTCGTTGAGTCATACTGTTTTGTGTCCTCTTAATGCACTCTTAATCGTCGCTTTCAATTTCTCTATTGCTCCTTCCCTGTTTGTTGTAAGTTGATAACCTTGACCTGAGTGGAAAAGTGGATGAAACAGTTCGTGACAGTTTTTGCTTTTTTGGCTTTAGGGTGTAGATGAATCATGAAAGGGGATCATCTGCGTAGGTGGAAACTGGAAACTTCTGTTCTGGTTATTTCATTCAAGTTTGTTGGCAATTTTTGGAGTTGTGTTCTGTTGGTTATAGTTGGCCTTTTTTTTACTAGGCAAATGATAACTCATACTTTCTAGTGCCCTTCTGCTATCCATCTCTAACTTACCACTAGATTTAAGTGTTTGATTCCCGAAAGACAGACTTAATATTGCTAGAAACTTAGTGTCTGTGATGCTATATAGCCGCACAACTAGCTGTTCCTGGGTTTTGCCCTACAAATGTGATAGATCATCCCCAGTGCAGCTTATCCAAATGCCCAATTTATGGTTGGGGTGCAAGAAAAGAGATTTGCGTTAAAATTATGTGGTGGGTGATTTTTGTTTGCAAGTTACATCTCTGATTGCATTTGGTTGCCATCTGCTCGAATCCAAACATATCAAAATGTTACCTATAGGAGTAACACAATCAAAATGTTGCAGGCTTTGGAAATCAAGATATAATGATCACCTTGGACTTCACATATGCTTGCCGTGATGATTACTAGTTTGTAAAGCACTAAACTACCTTGAGACTGCATGTTGGAGCTCATGATAATCCGGAAACTCTCTGCTACCACAAATAAAACTAGGGATGAAACTCCTTTAAACTGTGTTGTGGCTCCTTTGAGTATATCGCACAAATGAGATCATAGTAGAGGGAGAAGGTTGAAAGAAGGAAAATGGTCACTGGCAAGCAAGTTGCAGCGTACACTGGATATGAAAACATTCTCAGGCTGTCTTTCAGAACAAAGAAATGGGCTGCACAAAAGGAGACCAGCATGGAAGCTATGGAAAGGAAGAGTGATGTTAAACCCCAAATTAGCTTCCGAGGAAGTGACTTGGCGAAATCTTTGTGGTCAAAGCGGGAAGTGAGGATGGTAAGAAAAGTTACAAGCGATGTTACGGATAAGCAGAGGGCAACCAACGATGTGATGGCAAAGACATTAAAAGCTGGCTCCTGTTCAAGAACAGGGGTACCGGTATCTTCTTTGTTGCCTCCAGGGACGGTTGATGATCCTGCAAATGCAACTGTTGCTACAAGTGCAGCAACAACTGAGCATGACTCGCTTGTTTTGGTGAGCCATTCACTACCACTTTTTGCAAGTTGTTTGTGGGTTTCCAATAAGATCTGCTTCGGGGTGTGATTTCTCTTGTTGTATTGGCGAAAGAAGTTGGGTGGCATTGACTGCTTAACGAACTGCACAAAAGACAGTTATTTATCAGAGACCCCACATGGCCACATAATTCAAGTTTATCTGGTAAATCTTAAAGATGGCAAATTTCAAACTTATTGTGCCTAGATGGCATTGTAAAGATTGATTATACTATATTAGTTACATTGTTAGTTTTTAACAGGCTTATTGATTTCTTTACTTAGTCATTAACCGTTTGATTTCTAGTCTAAGCAGTAAAGTTGTTATGCTTTTCCTTTCCTAGTTCTAGCAGACAATTTAGTTTTGATTGTATTAGAAATAGCTTCTGCTTTTAGTTAGAGTAAGTATCAAGTCATTGACCGGCTATATATATGTATAACTTTACTTCAAATGTGAATCAAGGAAAGAAGTGAAGAAAACTTGTGCTCTTTTTCTCCATAAGAAGACACTTGATGTTTCGTTCTTACCCCAAAGACCCGTATTATTGGTTGAAGGTCTATGTTCTCTGTTCAACTGGGACCTAACAGAGTCTTCTTAACCTTCCAGATCATGTTAAGGGTTCTGAACTAATGTTATGGTTCTGGGTAGGCTAAAAATAACCCTGAAGGTGCAAGTGCTCCAACTCTAGAAAATGTACTATGAACTAGTCCTTTCTTTTAAGTACTTTTATAGGAAACAGAAATCTCGGGAAGCCAACCTCCAGAATATAGCTATGTAAAGTTACCTTGTACCACTTGAGTTCCCACTGCATTTGCAGGCCAGCTCCTGGTATAAGCCAAGGTCGAGAATCTCCAAAAGTTGCAGCTAGGTGCAATGCGCTGTTCCCATCTTTGTCTACTTGGCCAAACACACTCTCCTTCAGTATAACCTTCTCCTTAAGCAATTTAAAGACTTGGACATGTTTGTTCTCTACAGCCAAGAGCACAACATTCTTATTATCAATGTCCTGATCATGAATAGCAATAGGAAATGTTTCCAGTATTTTCTGCACTACTTCTTTGACTCCCATCTTTGCTGCTATCAGTATTGGGGTTTCCTTGCTCACTGATCCAAGATGAGGTAGATTTTCCTTCTTGTATGACACAAGGACAAGATTTTCATTCTCCATGTCTAACTCTCGATTTACGGCTGGGGATGCCTTCATAAACTTGTCCACCATGTCAGTTATTCCCATATGCGTTGCAACTAGTATGGCTTTCTCTGTTCATTAGAGAGAAGGAAAACTTCAGAGCAATGCTCATAATAATCAGGCTAGAAACTAGAAAGGAAAGTTGTGGTTGATTTTGTAGCTGCATTTAGCGTGAATTTACTGTTTAATATCATAATCAGTGCAATTCATGTTCCTGAAATTTGATGAACTAAATGTTTGGTCTTCACCTCCAGTTTCAGGCTCACTGGTGTTGATCACAGAATTCTGAGAATGCTGATCTTCAGTTGGGAATTCTGGGATTTGCGCTGGGTCTGTGTCTCCATTGGTGGGTTTTCGACCATTGTTCTCGTACCTATATAGTGAAGCGCTGTCAACCAATGTTTTCAAGACAACATTCGCCCATGTGTGTGCCGATTTCATTCTTTTGATCTTAGTGACTCTTGCATGTCCTGCATGCGATTGATGGTAAGCCATTTAACATGGATATTTTTATATACGAAAAAGTATTTATCACTAAAGATAGAGAAAGGGTACTCACCGAAGCCAAGAATAAGAAGCAGTGTCATTAACACGAGCTTGAAAAAATCGATTATTGTTGCATAATTTGGTGGGAAAACTTCTTTGAGATTTACTCTTCTTCCAAACCCAGCACCTGAAAATTATCTCCAAGGAAATAAAGTCATGGTTGATTAACAAGTTCGTTTGTGCCTGACAGTGGCTCTCACTAAAATTATATGTTTTTACCTTGAATTGTTTCCTTTCTGAAGCTTTCAGGATCATCGACGTTGCTTTCCTGGCTCACACATTTATGGATTGGACGAACAAGACAGGAGACTGCAACAGCATATTAATCATGATAAAGATTTTTCTAAATCATTTTGTCTTTGTTAAGTTAACATGGAAGTTTTTGAGTTGAGTCTGGGGATAAGATCAAACTCACTTGATAGCTTCTTCATCCAATGGAAGAAGGTCATGCATGTTTCATAATTTTCTGGGTAATTATGACCCCTGCCTATATCTATCAATCCTGATGAACCGCTTGTTTGGTCTAGGTCATCAATATTCGCGCCTGGAATGAGAAATTAGCCTAGTTTAAGCCAGTGTCATTTGCCTTTCATTAACTAGTAATGCAAGTGGGCATGGAACATTCAAAATTCTCACAGGAGTAGATGATACGATCAAACAGGCTAAAGTGAGAACTGCTTCTAAATGCACTGGGCTTTACAGCAAGAATATGTAGAGGAGAAGCTCCATCTTCCCTTCTTGTGTTCACAAGGTCTGGCCACTTCTGTATTATATGATATGCCAACTCTGCTTACATGTATAGTAACTTTGTTCAGTAAAAAATTAAATATGTAATTGCATATGGAAGTGTTTAATGTGTGTACATTTATTACCAAAGTGTTCACCGGAGATGGCAGCATGAAGAATGGTGTCACCTTTGCAAGACCTTCTGTGACAAATCTCGTCCGCTTTCTCCTCGTCAAGTCTGTCCAGGAGAAGGAAGAAATTCCATGTCTTGCCAGACATGGCTGCCAGGAAAAGAGGGGTTTCACCTTCTCCGTTGCTGGTCCCGATGACCTCAGCGGGAGCCTTGTAAGCCACGCATCCACACATGTCAGCGTCGCCAACTGCTGCTGCCAGGTGGATAGCCGTGGATCCCCTCACATTCTGCAACATCAGAACTGCTGCAGCGTGTTCGTCGTGTATCTGCTTCACTAGCTGCCTCACGATCTCGGTTTGCCCGTTCAAAACGGCAATGTGCAAGGCTGTGTCTTCTGATGTGGTGATCCTGGACTTCTGGGTTTCAGGATCTGCATATGCTGTCACCACTCTCTCCCACCTGCCCTGCATTACGTCATCAAACAAGGTATTTTCCTGCCCCATGGTTTGTTGGAATGCTTAATTACTTTGAGCAGTGTAGTTAGTGCGGGCTTATATAATCTCAGCTGCTGCATCAGGAAACCATTCCCACATTCTCTTGTTGCGTTTGATTATGTTAGAATGAACGTGGTAGGCTTTTGAGCTCAACATCGTTTATATTTTTGGTTCTTTACTTGCCTGGATCTTCTTGGTATTTGTTTCTCTATGTTTACACGAAAAAGAACTCACAGAGAGTCTTTGTTCAGAGTCTGAATTGATGTGCTGTCTTGCGATGAAACTGGTGCTTTGTCGGAGACGATGAAGGACCAGTGAAGGTGACTTGTTACCTTTTCCCTTTCCAACTTAGGTGGGCAAAGTATAATCAGCCACATTAGTGCGTTTCAGATTACCGCAATCAGATTATTCAGGTTTGTGCTTAGCCAGTGACCTTGTGCCGGTTTCTTGTTATGGATTTCATTCCTTTGATTTTTCAATTTTCTAATGTCTAATGCTCTTTCCAACTTCTTTAAATATATTAAAAGGGTTTTATAAAATGACCCCCTCCACGTCAGCCATGGAGCTTCCTCCGCAACTTTCGGTTTTTTCCGTTTTTCTTATTTTTTTTATTCTTTTTTTATGGCGGTAGTTACCATGTTTTGTGGAATTTTTTCTTTCCGTGTAGTTTTTTTTGGTTATTTAGTTTTCTTCCATAGTTTGATAGTTAATTATTTTATACTCCTGCGGTAATTCAGGTTTGGGTAGAATTAAGAAATTTTTCCTCTTTCACCTAGAAAACTCTTCTACATTTTTAAGGGTTATAGGTATAATATGCCCATCTACTACGAAGCTTTATCAAACATGGCCCTCTATTATTTTTTACATCAAATATGTTCCTGTATTTTGAAAAAAAAATATCAAACATGCCCTTTTGTTAAAATTTCCATTGAAAAAATCGTCAATCATGGTTGAACAGAGATTTAGACGACCCGACATTGGCAAATGAGAGGAAAAATGTCAGTTTTGTCCCCTGATTTATTTCCCTGGGTCTTTTCAAAGTGAAATTAATTGAATGATTTGATTATACAAAAGAACCAAAAAAATTCTAAAGTGAATTTATTAGGGATATTTTAGTCATTTGTGTCGCCCAAACTAAAGTTCAGCCTTTGTTAACGGTTTTTAGATGAAAATTTTAACAAAAGGGCATGTTTGATCATTTTTACAAAGTACAGGGGCATATTTGATGTAAAAAATAGTAGAGAGGCATGTTTGATAAAACATCATAATAAATGGGCATATTATACCTATAACTTTTTTTAACAATGTTTAAGAAATTCTAGAATGTCGGTTGGATCGAAAATACTGGATATTGGATCCAAATTGGTAGGTAATTTTAACGGTAGGAAACGGCTGAGCTATAACTCAACACGTTTTCAGTACAAAATACTTTACGCTAAACTTTTTCAATATAACCTTTCATACATTCCGTTTTACTCTAAACAAAAGCTCTTTATTATAATTTTGAAAGCTATGCCAACTATCTTAATGTGAGAAAATATGTATATAGTGATATGACTATGCAAAATATTGTAATATAATCTTCCAAATACAACATATATCCAATAGAATTGAAATTTTAAAAATTAAGATTATTTTGATGTCCACTCATAAAACGATTAGATTATAAGCACAAGCTAAACTTATAAAGTTTAAGAATGTTGAATACTGAAATTACAAAAATTATAGAATGTTAAAATATTCAAAATACTGAAATAAAATTGATTAATGTTGATAAAAAGATGTAACTCGCCCGCACAACGTGCGGGTTCAATGCTAGTTACTTTTATGGGATTTATTTGCGTATGGATGAGTGATACTCTTTTAATATAGTTTAAGTTTCGTGTTAGGGACCAAAATGAAGATATGTTTAGCATGAAGAACATGATCAAATATGTAAGACAGATGTATTAATAATTAGGTCTCAAACGTTCATAAAGTATTTTTCCGTATCAGAGCGCAGACTACTAAACCAGTACAAGAAATTGAAAGTTAAGTTATTTCCTTAACACATGACATGAATTGAAGACGGTAGTTATGCTAACTTCAACTTGTCCCTTTGTTTTACTTAGGGATGGCAACTTTGCCCATACCCATGGGTTTCTTACTATCCAACCCAATTGGATTGGGTATGAAATCCAAATAGATGGATATGGGTAGAGTTTGATGGGTTTGTACCCATACCCATTTACTTTGGGTTGAGTTGGGTTTATATCAAATGGATTTGGGTTTGTACCCATGCCCAAATACAAATTACAGTTTGGTACCCAAACTTAATAGACATGCATATTTAGTATCTAAATTTAATTTTTTTTGCATATAAGTCCTCAAAATATCGATGGAAAATTACGTTTTGGTACCTAAATTTTTTTGGTCTTACATTTTGGTACCTAAACTTTTCAAGTTTTGCAAATAGGTCCAATTTTTGCATGTGTAGTTAAAACACCCTCAAGTAAATGGATATCCATATCCAACCCATACCCATTTAGATTATGGAAGCCCCAAACCCAAACTCATCTATAAACCCCCAAATTCATATGCACTTCACCCATACCCAACCCATTATCAATGGGTCTACTTGGGTTTGGGTATAATTACCCATGGATGGGTAATTTGCCATCCCTAGTTTTACTAATAAAATTTTATTTAAACTAGAGACTAAAACTTCTGATTATGAATCTTGAACTAGAAGATTATATTAGTGATCATGTCCCAAATGCTCTTGAAAGAATTTCCCGCATTAACCATAAGTAAACTGAAGTTCTTATTAGGTTATTTCTTTAACATATAGCATGCATTTAAGGTGGTGGTTACATTGACTTCAATTTGTTTCTTCATTTTTATTAATAAAACTCTACTCAATTAGAGACTAAATTAGCAGATGACATTAGTGATCATGTCCAAAACATTCATAACAACAGATTTTCACACATTGTAGAACGTACTAATTCACAAGTAACATAAATTGAAATGGTAGTTAAACTGAAGTTGTAAGTATGTTACTTCTTTAACATATGCATGAATTTAAGACCGTGGTTACATCGACTTCAATTTATTATCCCTTACCACTTTCGTTTTACAAATACGACCGCATTCTAATTTCTCAATAACGCCACATTCTTCATTCTACGTACGTTCAGAAATTCAGTTCTTCCATATATACATCAATCTTCTTCGTTTCAATATTCGTATACAATCTTCCTTTGTCTCTGTAACTCGAATTTCACTTCTATCTCTAGTCATGGATCCAAATCAGCAGCAGCAGCAGCTCCATGTCGTCTTCCTCCCCTTCTTGGCTCAAGGCCACATGATCCCAATCACCGACATGGCGAGGCTCTTTGCCCGCCACGGCGTGAAGTCCACGATCATCACCACTCCGCTCAACGCCCCTCTCTTCTCCGGCAAGATCGACCGTGACGCCCAGCTGGGTCTCCAAATCCGGACCCACGTCGTCGAGTTCCCCGCCGCCGAGGCCGGCCTGCCGGAAGGCTGCGAGAACCTCAGCAGGGCGAACGAGTCCTTTGAAATGGTGGTCACATTCTACAAGTCAATGGAGCTCCTCCGCCGCCCGGTTGAGGAGCTCCTCCAACAATGGCGGCCCGATTGCCTGGTCGCTGACTTCCCCTTCCACTGGGCTTCAGAATCCGCCAACAAACTCGACATTCCGAGGCTGTATTTCAACGCGACGGGGTCGTTCGCCATGTGTTTGTGTGAATGCCTCAACCGCCACCAACCTCACACACGCGTCGAATCCGATTCCGAACCCTTTCTCCTCCCCGGCCTGCCGCACGAAATCCGAGTCACCAGAGGGCGAATCCCCGGGGAGTTCCGACCCGAGGTGAACGATGACGATCCGAGCGTCAAAGAACTCCGAGACCTGATGCTGGAATCAGAGGTGACAAGCTACGGAGTTGTGGTGAACAGTTTCTACGAGCTTGAGCCAGGGTACCCAGAACACTACAAACACGAAATGGGAAGAAAGGCATGGTTCATTGGTCCATTGTCACTCAGCAACAAAGACGACATGAAACATAAAGCGGAAAGAGGAGATTCTGCTGCTGCAATTGACAGACACGAATCATGTTTGAGATGGCTCGACTCCAAAGAAGCCAATTCAGTCATCTACATATGCTTCGGGAGCATACCAATACCTTTCAACGCGGACCAGCTACGCGAGATTGCCGCGGCTCTAGAGACATTGTTGTCGAGGCAGATCAGCTTTATCTGGGTTGTGAAGAAGGAAGAATGGCTGCCGGAAGGGTTTGAAGAGAGAATTACAGAGGGCGGGAAAGGACTGGTGATCAGAGGATGGGCGCCTCAGGTGTTGATTCTCGACCACGGGGCGATTGGAGGGTTCGTGACTCACTGCGGGTGGAACTCGACGCTGGAAGGTGTGTGCGCAGGGGTGCCGATGGTGACGTGGCCGCTTCAAGCCGAGCAGTTCTTGAACGAGAAATTGGTGACTGATGTTTTGAAGATTGGGGTCGGAGTTGGTGCTGAGGAATGGTCGATACAAGAGAGGAAAATCATCGTGGGAAGGGAAGAGATACAGAGTGCGATCACTCGAGTGATGGTTGGTGAAGAGGCTGAAGAAATGAGGAGCAGAGCTAGGAAGCTCAAGGAAATTGCTGTGATGGCTAATGAAGAAGGTGGGTCGTCTTATTTCGATATGAAATTGTTGGTGCAAGAACTGACGGATCTACGAGATAAGAGAAACAATGATGGATGCTCCAAGTCGTAAGAGTATGAATCCTTTTGAGCCAAGTAATGGGAAAATGTTTGTCGTTGCAATAACACCTTAGAGAAATATTTTTTTTATTTTTATGTAGCTTTCCCATTTCCTCGTGCAATAAACTTCATAAAAAAAGAAAGAGATTTGGTTTCTAGGGTAAATACAATTTAATATTCAAACCTTTCATTTTAAACAATATAATAGCCAAATCTTTTCGAAAACAATCTAATATCCAAATCGTCAACTTTCCGTTCATTTAACTGTTAGTTGACACTTCAAAAAAGCTTTGTTTTAGGGGAAATTGTCACAATACAACTTTGTTTCTTCTTTTGGCATTGTAGATGACTGAATATTTAGATATTCTATACCATCATGGTGGAGTCATGGACTTTTCGGGTTTGGAACTACGATATGTTGGTGGTTTTTCAGAGAAGATATCGATGGATATTGATGAAGTGTCGTACTTCGAACTTTTTTGAAGTGTCAACTAACGGTCAAACAGAAAGAAAGTTGACAATTTGGATATTAGATTGTTTTCGAAAAGGTTTGGCTATTATATTGTTTAAAATAAAAGGTTTGGATATTAAATTGTATTTACCCTTGTTTCTATTTATTTGTAGGCGGTTCTTTAGGAGCCGTCAAAACTTTTCTTTTATAATAATGATGGTTGGAAATTTTATTATTTAAAACTCTTAAAGAAAGAAAGAATGAAAGATACATATGCTTCATGGGGTTGACATGCTTAGTAAAATAGATCATTTGGATAATGATTCCAACATGGTAGCATGCACAAAATAATATGAGCAATGAGCAGTTGATGAAATTTGAGTTCCAATCCTCATTTTCCATTGGAATCGAAGAATTCATAGTCTCTACTAATCTTCTTAATTCTCAGGTTTTATGCCAAATTACATATCTATGAGAATTTTACCTTAACTTATACAGTTTTTATTTTCTCTATTGAAACTATAGGTGTCAAAATAGAACCCGACCCGTTTAACCCGCCCGACCAACCCGACCTGTAACCCGCCCGCAACCCGAATTGACTAAAAGTCAATGACCCGCAACCCGCCCGACCCACAACCCGATTGACCCGCGACCCGATTTACCTGTAACCCAACTAACCCGCAACCCGTTTAACCCGAACCCGATTGACCCGTAACCCGATTGACCCGCAACCCAATTGACCCACAACCCGATTGACCCGAACCCGACTAACCCGCAACCCGCCCGATTAACCTAAAAAATTATTTTATTATATACTATATAATATAGCAAAGGGAAGTTCAAAAATAAAGAATTATTATTATCTTTCAAAATAAAGTTTTTTGTTCTATATCCATGTAAAGCCAAAATTTTCATTTCGTAAATGGAAGTTTAAAATATGAAATTCAATTGAAATTATGCATTAAAAAAATAATAATAATAAAACATGAAGAAAACTTAGCAACATACATTGATATAAACGTAGGCCTATAGCATATGATGGCACACGTTAGTAAGTAGTATGAATATCTGGGTGTGAGTGGTTACGGCTTTAGCATTAGTTACAATTAACAATTAACATGAGAAAAAACTTGACGGGTATGGAGTCCCTCAAATAAAATTAAAACAATCAAATAAGTTGCAAATAATTGGAGCCAAAATTTAGGAGGGAAATTTGGAGCCAACTCTAGGAAGAATCAACATGGGGATGCAGAATTTCACTTTTCAGCCAAAAATAATATCCTTTTACCATTAGTTTAATTAACATGGGGAAATTTTGGCGGGTATAGAGAGTCCCTGAAAAGTCAAAACAATCAAGTAAATTGCGGGAGACCAAAAAATTGGAGCCAAAATTTAGGGGGAAATTTGGCGGCAAATATGGGGGATGCAGGACGTTGTTTTGTACATTGTTAGCCAAAGAAATTTTCTTATTATTTATCAAAACTAAATTTTCTCATTATTTACCAAAACTAAATTTTCTCATTGTTTACGATATTAGGAGCATTAATCATTTATCACGAAAAATGAAGAAGAAATAACATATTAATTAATTCTTGTGACTATAATTACAATTACAATTAATCATATAGCAAGTAATACAATTGCAATAATTCGATCATCTAAAATATATAACAAATTGAATTATGACGATTAAGGAGTTCAACATTTAATGACTAAGACATTGTCTATAGTAAACCTTATTAAGATTAATTGGATATAGTAGATTTGTGAACATATCATCAGTTAAGAGTTTAACATTTAGTAGCTAAGACATTGTCTATAGTAGAATCTATCATGAGTCATCTTATCATAATATACCAATCGCTATCGTTATAGTACACATAACCTAACATCCATTATATGAACTAGTTTAGGAACTCTAATAAGCAACATATATACTTATCTAACTATATGAACTAAATAGTTTGAATATATATATATATAATTGCTTATAATTTGATAACTAAATTAACCATTAGTTACAACAATCATTGTTTTAGAAAAAATCACTTAATTCTCTACTTGTTTTCTATGCTTCTACATTTATCGAAACTTCAACACACATTATCGTTATTTTATAAACTTGAGTAAAACTTTGGCACATTTAAGTTTGTGTTCGAGTTGAATTTTGATTTCAAAATGAGAGTTAAACCTGGTATAAGATATTGATGGTTTAGGGTATAAGGTACATATGGTTTAGCGTGTATATGGTTAGGGTATAAGATATTGATGGTTTTTGACGGTTCTAAGTTTTTTATTAACATATGTTCACTTGACGTCATTTGAAGTCTTTAACGGCAGCAGTTCTCTTTTTAATTTATGTTTATGGTACGTGGTTATGGTACAAGGTATGTGGTGTATTTGTAAATATGAAGAATCACCAAAAGCATTGCATTCATTCCAATAGATAGTATTTTGGTAGATAAAAGCCTGAGTTTAGTATTTATTATGCATTAAGTGATTTTTTTACATAATTTTGGCGAGCCATTTATCATGTAGATATTTATACATGACAGAGTTATTTATCCTGTTTGGAGCCATCACATAATTTTGTCTTATTTATCCTATTTGGTTAATTTGTATTGGTCACATATGGGAACATTTACAGTTCATTTGTTTATTTTGTCCTTTTCTTTTTCCTTTTCTAGAACAAACATTTTGTTCGTATTTGGTTTTGTACGGGTTACTCATCTCACTCGCTCGGCCTCGAATAGAAAGAAAACAAAGAGTTCTCTCACTAATTTAGAATGACAACTGTGGCATCGAAACCGATGGAGCCATATGTTATGTTTTTAATTTTTCCTTATTTTCCCCATATTCTTTATTTTTCTTCTCTTTTTCATATCAAGTGAGAGTGCTAGGTTAATTCCGAGGTCATCTTTTTGTTTATCGGACTGATAAAAAAAAGCATAATCACTCATTTTTTGTTCCTCTCCATTCCAAACGTAGAAATTTCGTAAATTCTCTAATTAATAGTTGTAGAACTCCAACTGAACAAGTTCTTAGTTAATAATATGTTAATCGTCCTCCTGTGATCTATAACATCGTTGATCAACGAGTTCAAATTGCAATAGAACTCTTCCACAATGTTTTTTTGTTCTGGTTTTGTAGTTGTCTTATAAGTTTCATTTAGCTAGTTCTTTTACACACCTTTATAGCATTATCTTTCACTCACGACAACGAGCAAGCTGGGATTTTTCCAGAGATACCACTGTTTAACAAAAGAATTCCAAAAAACCACCCAACTCCAAAAAATTCCAAAAATACCATCCTTTTTCAAAAACCGCCACCCCACCCTGCGGTTTACACGAAAACCGCTAGGCGGGGGCGCGGTTTTCTATGCAAACCACTGGGCTAAGGGGTGGTTATAAAAACCGCTGGTTGGGGCGGCGGTTTTGGGCCAAACCGCCACCCCACCCAGCGGTTTGGTCCAAATTTTTTTTTCGATCAACTCCTAACTTCGGCCGAAACTTCAAACGTACGTAACTTTGCATCGGGTATCTGATCGTATCGATTTTTTTTTTGAATCTGAATAACTTTTTGAGATCTACAACTTTTACTAGGATGAAATTTTCAAAACAGGAATTAGTTGTGGATATACGGGACCTTTGGAATTACTTTACCTTTACTTTTCACAAATCCATGTACATTTCGAAATTATGATTATTTAAAAGTTGTAGATCTTGAAAAGTTATGCAGAATCAAAAAACAATTCATGACGTTCGGATTTTGGAGCACAAAGTTAAGGCCGCCCAAAGTTTGACGAAATCTAAAAAAGGCTCGTTCGGGTTAGCAAATGACGTTTTTTCGAGACGAAGGCGGGACCCGGCGGTTTGCGGCTTGCAAGATCTCGAAAATTTATTTGGATTAAAAAAAAAAATCGCTACTATCTGATACCCGAGTGCAAAGTTACGTTCGTTTGAAGTTTCAACCGAAGTTAGGAATTGATCGGAAAAAAAAAAAATTTGGACCAAACCGCTGGGTGGGGTGGCGATTTGGCCCAAAACCGCCGCCCCATCCAGCGCTTTTTATAACCGCCCCTTAGATCAGCGGTTTGCATAGAAAACTTCACCCCCGCCCAACGATTTTCGTGTAAACCGCAAGGTGGGGTGGCGGTTTTTGAAAAAGGTGGTATTTTTGAAATTTATTGGGGGTTGGGTGGTATTTTTGGAATTCTTTTTTTAAACAGTGGTACTTTTGGATTTTTTCCGAGCAAGCTAGGGCCTTATCTAGTCTACACATAATATAATACACCGAAGGGAAAAACGGGAGCCCCATTTCAAATTTCCTGCAACGAGAGTGAAAGTAGGAATGACATTTTGGTCTTCACAATTACTTTTTTTTATTCATTCAAAAGACACGTACTGGGATTCGAACCATGTCCATTTTAAAGAAAAGCAAGGAACATAACCAATCACACTAAGTACATTTGTTGTATCCTTTTAAATCAAAAACATATAATAGCAGGGAGGAAAAACCCCTTCCCCCCATTTCAAATTCCCTGCTCCATGAGCGTTTGTAGGAAGGGTAGAATAGGTAGTGTTAATTTTTTTCTCTTTCCTCTGTGGAACGGGCCAACTTACCGTACACATGCCGATTTAGACGGGTTCAGGAGTGTCAATTTTTTTCTTTAAGCCCTTGTATTTCTCCGTGGTGATAAAATATATATGAAAAGGCAAAAACAATACTTCTT